CGAGGAAGGCACTTTCCCCGCCAAGTGGAAGCAGCAGAGGCTAGTGCTCCTCCCGAACGGGAAGAAGCCACCGAACGAACCATCATCTTATCGTCCACTCTGCATGCTTGATACAGCTGGGAAAATCCTCGAGCGTATCATCCACAGAAGGCTAGAAGCAGCAGTAGAACCGCTGCTAGCCGATAATCAATACGGCTTCCGAACAGGTCGCTCTACCCTCGACGCCATTGACCTCGTCTTCAATACCGCCAAGGAGGCAATCTCTGGGACAAGATGGAGAGAAGGTACGAAGAAGTACTGTTTAGTGGCGACGCTAGACATTAAAAACGCCTTCAACTCAGCCAAGTGGGATTACATCATGAAGGCTCTCGAGACAATGAACGTACCAGGATATTTGCGAAGAATGGTAGCCAGCTACTTCACCGACAGAATTCTGCAGTATGACACAGAGAGTGGTCCCAAAGAGTATCAAATCACTGGAGGGGTGCCTCAGGGCTCGGTGCTGGGTCCTCTTCTGTAGAACATCATGTATGATGGACTGCTGAAGGTAGCGTTACCAACTGAGGCGAGGCTCGTAGCGTTCGCGGATGACGTAGCCGTAGTAATTGTCGCTAAACACCTGGAGGAAATCAACTCCATATTTGATGTGACCTTCGGGAAGATATGTCGGTGGATGGACTCAGTTGGCTTGAAGCTGGCAGAGCATAAAACAGAAGCAGTGCTCATATCGAGTAGGAAAAAATTGGAGACGATCACGCTGCGAGTCGGTGACTATGAGCTCACATCCCAACCGATCATTCGGTAGCTGGGAGTGATGATCGACGCCCGACTCAGTTCAAGCAGCAAGTCATCCACGTAAGTGCCAAGGCCTCGGGAGTTAGAACCGTCCTTTCCCGACTCTTGCCGAATGTGGGAGGGCCAAAACAAAAGAGGAGAGCACTCCTGTCATCAGTGACCACGTCGGTGATTACGTATGCCATTGTCATTCGGGGAGGTGCGCTGAAGCTGCAAGAATCACGGCGGAAGGTGGCTCTAGTTTGTAGACTGAGCGCCCTGCGGGTTGCCAGCGCGTTGCGCACAGTGTCCGAAGATGCTGCGTGTGTCATCGCCGGGATGTTTCCCATTGGAGTACTAGCTGAAGAACGGAGGTGCCTTTACCGACGGAAAGGACAAACCTCATTGACTCTGAACGATCTGAAGATAGAGGAGAGAGGCAATAGTATACGGCGATGGCAGTTACTGTGGGATGCCTCGACCAAGGGGAGATGGACACATCGCCTTATTCCGCAGGTGGACGTCTGGCTGAACCGGACTCACGGAGAGGTAAACTATTGCCTGACACAAATGTTTCAGGACATGGGTGCTTCGGGGAATATCTTCATAAATTCAACCATGAAGATTTCCCGGACTGCCGAATCTGCCCAGGAGTCAAGGAGGATGCTGAGCACGTATTTTTCGTGTGTCCGCGCTTCTCTTCTTACCGCAGCGCGTGGGAAACTTCACTCCAAGAAAGGATCTTGCCGGAAAACCTAGTAAAAGCAATGATTGCATCAGAGGCAGCCTGGGAAGCAACCAGTTCGTTTGCAATAGAAGTCCACAAAGAACTCCGGTGTGAAGAACAAGAGAGGAAAGATACGGAGGAGAACAATTGAGAGGAAGGAAGCACTGACTTCGAACATCAGAAGGAATAGCTGCAGCTAGATTCGCCCCACCCCGTGCAGTAATGCCTAACGGCGGTCCCGCGGAATACATGGGGGCAAGTGAGGTTATGTTTCAGTTTAGTCGGTATTGGTTGCGTTAACCTGAGTCCGGCATACCACTTTGGAATTTCTTCAATGGTGGATGCGTAAAAGCATTCTGTTTTAAACCTGAGGAAAAAAAAACACACACACACACAACGAGTGGGGCATTGAGTCAGGGCTCGGTACTGGGCCCTCTCCTGTGGAATATAATGTACGATGATCTTCTGAAGTTGAGGCTACCGCCAGGAGCAGAGATGATAGCCTTTGCAGATGATGCGGGACTTACAATCGTCGCGAAGCACCTGAAAAAAAGCGTCCGTATCTTTGGTGACTCGTACGATGAAGTGCAGCGATGGATGGGTTCAGTCGGCCTAAAACCGGCAGTTCACAAAACCGAAGCCGTGCTCATCTCGAGCCGAAAGCAGTTGGAGATGATCACTCTCGACGTAGCAGAATGCACCATCACCTCCCAGCCGTACATCAGCTACCTGGGAGTGATGCTGGACTCTAAACTCAGCTTCAAGCATCATGTGGAACACACCACTGCAAAAGCAGCAAAAGAGGCTACAATGCTGGCGGGGCTCATGCCTAATATTAGAGGACCTCGACAAGCCAGGAGGAAACTCCTGGCCTCGGTGGTGACATCCGTTCTTACATACGGAATAGCCATCTGGGGTGACGTCATCTGGTCCTGTGGCAAGTACCCGTTCCAGAATGTTGCCAATACTGAAGAGGCTGACTTTGTGGTAGCCAAGCTGGAAGGAATCCATTTCTACAGCTGCTACACTCCACCAAGCCTCAGCCTCGAGGAGTTCACGGATTTCCTGCACAGACTGACTGATTATTTTCCGTTTCGATTTCATTTATAAGGAAGATCCAAAACATCCGCAAATTCTCTAAACACATGATATCTGGACGTGTCATGCCATTCTACATAATTTCCAGGCAAAATAAGAGAATCGTAAAATTTGCCGGATTATGAAGCTCCCATGTGGATACAAAAAAAGACCGTGTTCTTCTCTCCGCGTTTCCCAATTCATCGTTTATTATAAATTTGCCGGCCCAGCCCTCTCTTCCAATCGGTATTGAAAGAACCGAGCCAAAGTAAGTTGAGAAAGACTGAAGAGTCGTTCTCTCTCTCGTATTTTTCATATAATTACACGAAAATATATTATATATCACGTAATTTATTCCGAGAAAAGTTTTTTTTGCAAATTATTGCAGGGAAACTACTCATGATTTTTCATCCGTCGTAGGTCCCTCACACTAACGCACGCAAGGCTCATCCATTCTCTCCCCACTCACGCACACCTGACGCGCTCACCTCAGATGACCGGGGGTTGTTAATTCGAACACCTGAGGCACCACGTCCTGGACAGCTCCTTATTACCATATGATCTATATTAAATTAGGTCATGTGACCATCGAATTAGGGCACGTGGCACCTGTAAGCCCGTGTCTCTCTCTCATTCGTTTCCGGGAATCAGTTAATAGCACTTCTCTTTGTACCGCTCAATTTCTCGCAAATCGGATAATCTTTATTGTGTCAGCTCAATCTCTTCTCAACTTTTCGGTCCGCTCATTGCTTACGGTTTAGTTAGTGACTCAATATTCAGTGACTTTATTTATTGTGAACATTTAAATCGACAAAATACAGTGATTTGTGACACCACGTGCACGTGTTCCGCTCATTTTTTACTTTTTTTTGAATTTTTTGGAGCATTCAACTTTGTTTTTTTTGGCTACCGCTTCCTTTATATTCTCCAACCCTTTTTCGTTTTTTTTAAATTTTTCAATAAATTCTCGCGCCTGCTCAACGGAATCGCTCACTGCTGCTACCTACTAAATTAAGACTCTTCGGTGTTATTACTGTTGCCGCTCAACCGACCGGATACTTAATTTTATCGCTTCTCACTGCTCACTGCTTGGCTTTTGGGGTCGCCTTACTTAGGTTTTTCCGGTTCATTCCTTTTTTTGAGCTGCGCACTTATTTTCAATTATGGCATCATTTGAGGCGACCATTAGCCTGAATAACTCTCGGGCAGCGTTCATCGAACGCGTTTACAAGGAGCTGCTCACAGAAGAGGCGAAAAGCCTCACAATCTCCAATCTCCAGGGTAAACTCGAGATCCTGGAGACCTACTGGGAAAAATTCGAGAGCACTCATGAGAAGCTGGCATCGCTGGCAGCGGCAAGATCGAAGGGATCCTTGAATTGCCGTACTTCAAGGACCATCGGTTCGACATTACTATCCGGCATTAGCAAGTCCACTTGCTCTCACTTTCAGCTCAGAGTTTCTGCCTATGCTCTCGGCCAGCTCACAACCTCATTACCGACATTCTCACCAAGTCAGCTCACATGGGATCATCTGGAAGGACTCCAGCTCGCTGATCCCGATTTTCTCACACCAGCACCAATTGACATCCTTCTTGGCGCTGATGTCTATGGACAACTCATCTTACCACAAGTCATCACCAACGGACCAAACTCACCATCGGCTCAGCTCACGCGACTTGGATGGATCGTATTCGGACCAACGGAAGGTCCTGATACTACTCAAGTAGCAACTTCTCATCTAACGGTCACCAACGAGGATCTCAACGAACTGCTCACCAAATTCTGGATCCAGGAAGAGATCCCTGGGACACCAGAGGTTCAGCTCAACGAGGAGGAAGCGCAGTGTGAAGAACACTTTCAACGGACCCACTCACGAGAGGCATCTGGCCGCTACATTGTTCGGATACCGCTCAAATCTCCAGTTTCCTCGCTAGGAGATTCACGATCGTCTGCACTCGCTTGCCTCCATCGTCTGCTCAGGAAACTCTCACGTGATGAGGTTTATCGTCAGCTCTACACGGACTTCCTCAGGGAATATGAAGAGCTCGGCCACATGCGTCGAGTCTCCGGACAGCTCGCTAGATCAGCTCATCAGCGCCAGCTCAATGGGGGGGGGGCACGGGCACCGAAATGACCTTAGCACATGAGGCCTCGGCTTCAGGAGGGTTGAGGGTTTCGGGCCGTCCGTGTTCTTCTCGGGCTGACGCTCCTCCGGAATATTTCTTCCCTCATCACGGAGTTCTCAGGGCGAGCAGTGAGACAACGAAGCTCAGAGTTGTTTTCAACGGCTCCAACAAGACCAGCTCAGGACAATCGTTGAACGAGATTATGCACACGGGTGAGAAGTTGCAGAAGGATATCTCGGATGTACTTCTCTTTTCTCGGCGGAAACGGCTCATTTTCATGACGGACATAACCAAGATGTTTCGTCAAATTCGGGTACATCCGGAAGATTGGCCACTCCAACAAATACTCTGGACCGACTCAAACGGAGATATCGCCACCTATCAACTCACCACGGTCACATATGGCACTAGGTCAGCTCCGTTCCTCTCAATGCGTGTTCTTCATCAGCTCGTTGAGGATGAAGGATCGAACTATCCTCTCGCTGTGGAACCGCTCATGAAAGGACGATATGTTGACGATATCTGCGGGGGTGCTGACTCAGATGAAGAGCTACTCAGGACCGCTCATCAGGTGACACAGCTCTGTCGGTCAGGAGGCTTTCCGCTAGCCAAATGGCACTCAAATAGCCCAGCTCTACTCACATCTCTTCAACCTGACAGCACCTCTCAAGAACAACGATTCATAGAGGACTCGCTCACCAAGATTCTAGGGGTTTCTTGGCATCCTGGAACGGACAACTTCAAGTTCTCCGTCACTCAGCCTGAGACCAGCTCAATAACGAAGAGAATCATTTTATCGGAAACGGCTCAACTCTTCGATCCACTGGGTTTCCTAGCGCCAGTGGTCATACGAGCGAAGATATTGCTCCAGGCTCTATGGATCGAGAAACTGGGATGGGACGAACCAGTTTCCCAGACAACTGCTCAACGATGGAGCCAATTCAGGGAGGAGCTCACACAGTTATCAGAGATCACCATACCTCGGTGGCTTGGACTGTTCACGGATTCCGTCGGTCGAAGTACACGGTTTTTCCGACGCATCACAAGTGGCGATGTCAGCCGTGATCTATCTCAAGGTTCTCAACAAGGGAAAATCACAACTCACATTGGTTTGCTCAAAAACGAAGGTCGCACCGCTCAAACGGCTGACAATCCCACGACTAGAACTCACTGCGGCTCTCCTCGCCAAACTGACTAAGTACGTCAAGGACCAACTCAATCTCACGAACGCCACCACCTATCTCTGGACCGACTCATCGGTCACGCTCACGTGGATCAGCTCACACTCCTCAAGATGGAAGGAGTTCGTGAAAAATCGGGTGGCACTCATCCAGGAGCTCACTCAGCAGGCTCATTGGAGATTGGTACCGGGCAAGGAGAATCCTGCAGACTGTGCATCTCGAGGTCTATCAGCGCACCAACTGGTATCTCATAAGCTCTGGTGGAAAGGGCCACCATGGCTTCATCAAGACTGCTCATCATGGCCAACTCACGCTCTGGAAAAAGACCTCAGCGCAGACCTCGAGGAAAAGCCAGGAGTTCTCCTACATGTAAAAGCTCATCCAATCGCGCTCTGGAATCTCGTCGACAGATTCTCATCGTTCAACCGACTGCTCAGGGTCACAGCAATCTGTCGACGATTCATAGCTCGGCTCAGGAAAACCCCCAACTCTTCTCTTCGATACCCGCTCACTCTTGGTGATCTTGAAGAGGCTCGCATCCTCTGGATCAAACTCACGCAGGCAGCTCACTTCAAGGATCAACTCAGAGCGATCTCACGAGGGGAAAGGTTCAGCAAATCCCACCCCCTCACCAAGCTCACACCCTTCATCGATCGCCAAGGGGTATTGAGGATAGGAGGACGGCTCAAGTTTGCTCACATAGGCCCGGAGAGCCGGAACCAAGTGATTATTCCGAAGGAATCTCAACTGGCTCAGCTACTCATCGGACAGGCTCATCTAAGGACACTCCACGGAGGCACACAGCTCACCCTCAGGCAGCTCAGAAGTAGCTACTGGATACTCGGAGGTCGAGCACCAGTACGCTCCTTCATCCTCAAGTGCGTTAACTGCACTCGCCAACGTGGAGTACGCGCTCAACAGCTCATGGGCCAGTTGCCACCAGCCAGACTCACTCCCGCTCGAGCCTTTCTCAACACTGGGATCGACTATGCCGGCCCAGTGTCTCTACGGTCCTGGAAAGGGCGGGGACACAAGTCGTACAAAGGCTGGTTGGCTATCTTTGTCTGCATGACCACCTCAGCGGTCCATCTCGAGGTCGTGTCAGACTACTCAGCCGAGGGGTTCATCGCGGCGTATAGACGCTTTTCAAGTCGGCGTGGGATCGCTCATTCCTTGTTCAGTGACTGTGGGACCAATTTCCTTGGCGCTGACAAGGAACTAAAGAAGCTCTTCTCGTCAGGATCAGCTCAATCAAGACAGCTCGCACAGCTCCTCATCAATGATGGGACTCAGTGGTCCTTCAATCCTCCAGGTGCTCCGCACTTTGGAGGGAAATGGGAAGCGGCGGTGAAGTCGGTGAAGTTCCATCTCACCCGGACGATCGGAGAGGATCTGCTCACTTTTGAGGAACTCACCACTTTGCTCGCTCAAATCGAGGCAGTGCTCAACTCACGACCACTGGAACCGCTCACGGATGATCCTGATGACAGTCAGGCTCCCACGACTCTTCCAGAGCCATCTTTAGAGCAACTCAACGTCTCAAGGCTCTCTAGATGGCAGCTCATTCAGCAGAAGCTTCAAGGATT